CATGCGGACACATGCAGCACCTGCATTGTTATCGTCAGTATTGTCTAGGGATGCACCGATGTGACTTTTTCAGTGCTGATACTGATAATGATGTCTGGGCTTTGGGTATCGTCCAAACTGAGTACTGATCCAATATCAGTGTTTGTTTAATAAGCTGTGTGCTGTCCTCTACCCCCAACGCCTTGCTGAAGTTGACAGCCAGAATAAACTCCTCTCCAAATACCACGTTGACAAGAGGTTCCAAGTTCATTCTTTATCGTAGTCAAAGTATGGTAAAAACTAAAAAATAAACATATGATGCTATTAAAAGTAACTAAACAATGATTAACATCCACCTTTACATGACTGATAATTTACGTTAACCAAGATTTTACATAATTAGTTCTTTTAGAAACATTCACACTAAATACACATTCATGTCAAACGTTTTCGGGTAATGCTTCTAATTAACATAAATATGCATTATAATGTAAATGACATACCAACGATGCCTCCAAAGACTGGCACAAAAATTAGAGTAGCTGAAAAACATGGGAGAAAACGATGCTTGCTCATCCGAACAACCAAGGACGTTCACTGATGACATCATTAAAGATAGACACATTAACAAAACATTGTTGCTGTTCCTTAAACTACCAGTAGATGGCATCAAAAAACAACATATCTGTGGTTTTACCTCACTACCAAATAAATGGTTACAGAACAAGCTGTATGTCTCACTGTGTGGAAGAGACTGGGATCATGTTTTTATGTGTAAGGCAACATCAGGCTTGACTTAAACAATGCTTTCCTAACTTTGCAAAACAAAATGTAACGAATACATAAATAATTCAGTACATTTATATTTAGTATACATTCTTATAAGAACAATTCAGTAAATTAATATGTATATTCAGCTCTGGAAAGAGATCACAGCAAAATTATCAGTTTCACTCATTTCTCAATTTATGGGTATGTGTCTGTGTAAAATATAGATTTTTTTTTTTTAACTGCAGCCTGGTTCTTCTCTGTTTCTCATTAATGAAGGGCTCCTTCCTTGCTTTATGGGACTTCAGTCCTGCTTCTAGGAGCCTGATATGAACTGTCCTAGCAGTGCACTTCACACCTGCACTTAATGCTTCCCATTCCTTTTGAAGGTCACTTGATGTTATCATCTGATTCGTGAGAAACTGTCGAATAAGTTGACAGTCATCTCTGGCGTTAGAATGTTGCTTCCTCCCTTTACCTGCCTGGTTCCTGGTCGTTCCCAGTGTCTCCTGTTTCACATTGTTCTTGTTTACTGCTGTCTTAGAAACTCTGAGCCTGGAAGCAGCCTGCCTCGCAGTGTAGCCTCTGCCAGCAGAACCAGGATTAAACCAGGATTTAAAATGCAGATTTTTTTTTTTTTTTAAATATGGAGTGGTCTCAATTTTTTTCCAGGCCTGGCTATAGGTTATGTGAGCGGAGGGCATGTTGCCTGCTGGCCGGCTATGGATTTCCGGAATATAGTGCATATAGTTTTTTTGGTGGGGTTTTAGATCAGAGGTATTTTCAACAAGTGCATCACTGCACCAGTGCATCTGAGTCACCCCCCAAATCACCACGGGTACCTGTCACATTGGATACATGCATCTATGCAGGTGTCTGACTGCTTCGCTGTATTTTAATATACTTGGCAGAAAATATTAGCCATTGTGCTATGATCTGGTATAAATAAATCCCAGAGCGATGTCCGCATATTTACAGTCAAGGCCAGCGGGACAATGACCCCAAACATACCTCTAAAAGCACCCAGAAATGGTTGAAGACAAAGCGCTGGAGAGTTCTGAAGTGGTCAGCAATGAATCCGGATCTAAATCCGATTGAACACTTGTGGAGAGATCTCAGAATTGCTGTTGGGAGAAGGCACCCTTCAAATCTGAGAGACCTTGGAGTGGTCGAAAATTCCAGTTCAGAGGTGTAACAAGCTTGTTGATGGTTATAGGAAGAGATTGGTTTCAGTTATTTTTTCCAAAGGGCGTGCAACCAAATATTTTGTCCGGCTCAGTTTTTTACTTTTGTGTGAAATTATGTCAAATTTGGCTTTTTTTTCCTCTTTTTTTGTGTTCCAATGCACATAAAGGAAATAAACGTGTATACCAAAACACTTGTAATTGCAGCAATTTTCTGGAAGAAATGGTGCATTTTCTGGAAAAATTCCAAGGGTGCCAATAATTTCGGCCTTGATTGTACCCAAGTACCACTGCAACCTATAATGCACAGCTTGGTGCACATTAACCTGCTTGTCCCATGGTTATTTGGCTTACACGTTTGTACTTGAAAACATTATTTCCATGTTTACAAACGAAAACAAATTTATTAGTAAAGCTACCATTTAGGTTTGGGCACCTCAGCCTACTACTATTAAATATTTTAGTTGTATACGTCCCAAGCCACTGTTAGTTAGTTCTGTTGTAATCTGTTGCAGATACTGCATAGAACTTGTGGTCGTAGCAGATTCAAACGTGAAATCCCATGGATCTGACCCATTGTCCCTGATACCCAATCTGGCTTTTTGAGTCGGTATCAGACCGATATCAGTGTCTTTGCATCCCAAATATTGTCAGTCTTATTGTAATTGATGTGATTCCACGCTACACCCCCCAGCTCCCTGCCCTCCTGGTACAAGTCTGCTCTTTTCAACGAGCTCTACTTCGTGGCGGATGGTGGCACAGTCTGGGTGGAGCTTCCCGAAGACGGTGACATCAGTGGGGGCGTGCGCACCGAGGATGGGGGACTCCCCGCTCAGCCGCATGTCGTCAAGGAATACGGGCGCTTCGCCTACCTGGAGGGTGAGCACCCCCACCCCCCGGCGGGGTCCGTAGTGTCTGAGGGGTGGGAGTGGGCGGCTGAGTGGGCGGCTGAGTGGGCTCATAGTGACGCTGCCCCCCTCTTCGCAGGCCAGGAGTACAGGATGTACAACACCTACGACGTCCACTTCTATGCTTCCTTCGCCCTCATTATGCTGTGGCCCAAACTGGCTCTCAGCCTGCAGTATGATATCGGTGAGTCCTCCCGCATGCTCTCACGCGTCCATGCTCTCTCACCCTCTCACACTCTCTCACATGCTCTCACACCCTCTCACACTCTCTCACATGCTCTCTCACCCTCTCACACTCTCTCACATGCTCTCTCACCCTCCCGCATGCTCTCACGCTTCCATGCTCTCTCACCCTCCCACATGCTATTGTGCGCCGTCATGCTCACAACCTCTCACTCACACCTTTTCACACCCCCTTCACACACACACACACACACACACACACACACACACACACACACTCTCACATGGTCTTGCATTCTTGGACATGTTCTCTCACACTTTTCACACATTCTCTCGGACATAAGTTCTCCCACACACACGTTCCCACACACACTCGATCTCACCCTCTCACTTACGCTTTCATGCTCTCACAAGCTCTCACATTTATTCACACGTTCACACTTGCCCACAAGTTCTCAAATGCTCTCGCGCACTCACTCACTCACTCACCCACCCACTCACACTCACTCATACTCACACATACTGTCAAATGCTCTCACATGCTCACAAGCTATCATACACTCACTCACACCCTCTCACTCACTCTGACACTCACTCATACACTCTTGCATTCTCTCACACATGTTCACAAGCTCTGACACTCTTTCATATGTTCACTCTCATACTTACACCCTCAGAAGTATTCACATGCTCACGTGCTCTCATACTCTCACACACACTCATATATGCTCTCACACACACTCATGTGCTCTCATACTCTCTCACATGAACTCACACACTCATACACTTTCACTCGCATGCTCTCACACATCTTGCTCTCATATTGCCTGCGATTCAGATTTTCAAAGTATCCAAATCATTTTGCCAACTTTGCCAGAGTGTTGTTTTTACATGGGCTCCAGTGGGGAGCAGAGCATATGAGCGGAGCGTGAGCGAGGAGCGGAGCGTGAGCGAGGAGCGGAGCGGGCGGAATTTGGTCAGAGCGCGGAACGGTTTTTTAATTAAGGCTGGAGCAGTCGCTCTGTCTCACTCCAATTTTGCTCCGATACCGCTCACATTACGATTCTGAGGCGTGCCCAAATCTACCCAGAATTCATCTGTACAAGACTGTTACACAAATTGGCTGAGATGGAATTCACAAAGTATTTCACAAAGGAAACTGATAGATCATACAAGTGTCCTAATCCTATCAAACGTATAGATGGCAAGAATGTACAGCAAGAACAACAATGTGGTGAAACTGTTTCAGTGAGTAAAGATTCACTTTGGAATCACTTTTCTCAGAAACATGAGAGTGTGCTATGCGAACAGGCGGAAGCCAGAGCAAAACGTGAGCAAGTTTTATATGGTTGTAGCATATCAAGTCTATAAAGTGAATATTGGTAATCAAATAAATTAGGTTTGTCATTCAAAGTAGGTCTAATAGGATCTTGTAATTTCACGTAACGCTGTCAGTGAAATTTTATTTTATAGAGACGCAGCAGTAGCATCAACAGAAAAAAATTGAGGAATTTAAAA